TAAATGGTAAAATCTACCAATAATGTAACCTTCACTGTAGCCTGTTCCAGGTGTTCAGATAGTAGAGCGCAGGCAAAAAATTGATACGAAAAGAAAAATGAGGTGAGACTAGAGAGAAAAGTCTCCCCTTGTTTTCCCCATGTACGATTTCACTCAATCCCAGGCTACCATCTGATTGCTGTGCTCTACAATCTGAACGTGTTGAAAGGCTATCTTCACTGGTATCCACAAAATAGATTACTTATCTTCTTTGGCCGTCTTTAGTAATATTACAAGTGAATGTTGAAACTTTCTCTTTTTTGGTTCCTTTTTAAGTGGTGGGTCCTACTCTCTTGCCGTAACAAAGTATTGTACTGCCTAATTCCACCCACAATCACAGACAGCAGTTATTAGTCAAAGCAGTCTCATTATTTTCTACTTGTCTAGAAGGCAATAAAAGAGATCGACTCTGCTAGCAGGGAACTTTATCTTTGGAACATGTAAAGTTTTGCTATTTATTCATTTAACTGTAGTTATGTTGCTTTTGCACTTGCATATCTGTGATATCCAGCAAAAGTTCAACAGTTTTTTATATTTCTCCTAAGCCTCAAATAAAAGATGACAACATTGATTGTGAGGCTATTGGAGTCATTTTGTTGTATTCCAAGTGACATATACATGTATGTCCCCTGAAGCGAATGTGATTGAGATTATTCTGAACCATGAATATTAGAGGCGACTTCGGCAAAGGTCTACCAATCAACAAGGTTGTCACTAAAGACTTCGGTTCTGAATTATTTAAGTTTTCTCTGTTTAAAATAAATCATTGGAGTTCTGTTTGTTTTTATTCAAAAGTCAGGCATTTTCATTGCAGTTTTGTTATGATATGGTGAGGTGATAAAACTTGTACAAAGTGTCATCAAGCTTAAATTTTTGGTACATGTTCAAATAATAATAAGTACTTTATGACTTTCATTGTTTTTCTACGATATATTGCACACCACGCTTGAGCTCTGTTTTGTTCTGGTATAAAATAAGCTGTAAGTTTGGAAAAGGACATTTTTAAAACATTACTGATCATCCCACAGTGCTTTCATTGTTGTAACAGATATTTATATTATCTGTTAACTTGCTGAGCCAAGTTATCAAATCCATTCATAGTGTGTTCAGTTGCTTAAAATGTATCAGTGTTGTGAAATGCATTTTCAATTAATTGCTATTACTATGTAAATTATTTCTTAGAATATTAAATAGGAATGAAGCATAAGACAGAGTTTTTAAACCATTTATAAAATAATCAGCAGCAGATTATCCAACAACCTTTCAGTGTTGTACTCAGACAGTTTGTAAGGTTAGTAGAATTAAGGAAACAATAACCCACAATGAATTCTGTACACTACTAGTAGTTCCTGAGGATTAGTATCTTCTTCTTGATCGTTCCTTCTTGTAATATCTGTCACAATTTTCACTCTCAACGGACCAACATGGAACTGCCAGCAGTCTATGAATTCTGTTACCATTGTAACAGCTACTCTAGCCTTTCTGGCAGGTGTTTGAAAGGGAACGGGAAGGGAATTTGGGTGCAAGACCAGGCACGATGGAGCAAGGGAGAAGGGAGCCGTTTGTCACAGCTTCTTGTGCACCTGGAATCCCCTTTCCTTTCAAATTTCTGCCACACAAGCTACAGCTACTCTCTACTTAGAAGGACACATGGGTATAGAAAATGAGGCATTTCATATTTAACTAAAAAAACTGGTGCTATATGTAAGGACCTTGTAAGTTTTTTGGGATGCTAGCTACCATCACAATCTTCAACCCTTGCATTGAAAAGTAAATAATATAAATGGGAACACGAGTTGATGTGGAAAAAATCCCAGGCTGTTGTCATTCAAATGACACTCCTTCAGAGTAGTTTTTCACATTGATTCATTTTCTGTCATCATTTTAGAAAATCCAAGTAGAGATTTTTTCTTGTGTTTTGCCTTCTTGGAGATGAAAGGGTTTTGCACAAAGTTAATTTTTTTTAGCATCTTCATGATACATGCAAGGTAATAATAATTATTATTATTGTTTACTACCTTACTTGTATCATAAATTATTTATGTGGGTGCTTGGAGATGTACATAAGTGACTATTTTGTCGTGATTGCCTCATGAAGTAAGTTACATTTTGGCACAGAGACTGGTTTTGACTATATTACTTTAAATTTAGTTTTGTGTACAAAATGTGTAAAGTAAAAATGCTTAAACACTGAGAGAAACTATATTATTCTTTTGAGCTAAAACCAGAATGATGTGGTAAAGCAATTTATTTTTCATGATCTCTTTGTATTTTGTTTTAATTTATGTTTGAACAGAAATCTACGATTGTTCCTGTCCCCTATTTTAGGATACCAAGCAAAAAGGGTTTGATGGAAACTTTATAATAAACAATTTTAAATAAAATTCAATGCCAAAAATAGATACAGAACCAAGTTTCGTATTTGATAATCACTCTTTTTGGTGCTACAAAGGTTCTCATTTTACCCTTTCTAGTCACCAATAAGTTAAAAAACTTTCAAAGCAGTGTTTTGTATCTTATTATTTTGTAATTGTTGAATGTATATGTTTGCTCATATTTAGTAGGGTAGATACTGACGTTTAAGACTGCCATTTCATCTCCAAACACCCAAGTTATCATGTATTGATAAATAAAACCAACTTTTTCCCAAATATGTCTGAAGATTTTTGAAAGCTGTCTATTCTTAGTTATACAAATGTTTTGATCACTTAACATTTTGAACATTTCAGAGATTTATTGGACAATGAACTCATATAAATAAAATGAAAAGTTTTCACTTTTTATGTCGATTAAGAAAGTGGCAGCAAATCTGACGACATTGATAATGTGTGTTTCATATCCTTTGTTTGGGACATTTAGAGGATCTGTTGTACTTTATGTTAAATCAGCTATAAAAATTGTACAGTAGTTAGTCACATCATTGAAACTGTCAATATTTTCATAAGGTATGTCTCAGAAGTAGGTTAATTATCAAACAAATTAATCAAAAGATTTTTGTAACTTCCTTCTTGTAATGCTTATTGATAATATTGTAATAATAAATATTGGCACATAAGAAATTTTTGTAGAAAGGAGTATTGAAGTGTTTTAATGTAGTCTAAACTATAACTGACCTTTGATCGTTAATGCTTACGGCTGATGTCTATCTACAGTGGATAAATTTGTGATTTTATAACTGACAGTTTTGGCCCACGAAAGAATAGTGCATTGTTGACTGGAATAGTTTATTGCTCGATTTAGACGGTCACCTGGACACTTGTTTTAATAGTACTACTGTATAAACGATTTGAATAACAACACAATTAGCTAGAAAACAACGGGTTCATACTTATCCAAGATGCAAATGATTGACACGAGTGAACGAACACGAATCGGATCGGGGGGACACTTGTACTCCAAGTTTCCGGTTGCGGTCACTCACGCCAAAAAAATCTCCGGCAAAAATAGACACTCGAAAAAACCCTCAGTTCGACCTGTGTTTAAGTCTGTTGTGCGCCCTTCCTTGTTTACAAACAAACAAACAGTTGCAACCATATTGAAGCTTAGAGTGAAATTACATCTGCACTCAGCTGATAAGCATATGACTATAAATGCACGACTAACATACTGAGAAAAATAACAATATTATTATTAAATTTAAGATATAGGGCCACCCATAATCTTTTGATCGGTTTCTACGTTCTTAAAGAACGAAAATCTTCCCGGTCTCTCCTCAATACAACTTTCCATTTTCGGGTTTTCCCTGGGTAGCAGGTGCATCTTCTAATGAATTGTGGGAAGGAAAATTAATAAACAAAGGCAATGGCCGCTGCTAAGGAAAGAGAGGAAAAGGTGGAAGTCCTCAATTATAAGGACTCGTTTCATCCTTGCCACGTCTTGGAGACCCTCAAGAGACTTTATATGAAAAAAGAACTTTGTGATGTGGTGCTTGTTGTAGATGAAGAAGAAATCAAAGCTCACCGCGTGGTTTTAGCGGCCAATAGTGCTTACTTCTATTCAATGTTTACAACGGACATGTGCGAAAGTGTTCAGGAAAGGGTCTGCCTCAAAGGTATAGAGTTCGAAGCTGTGGAGCTTTTAGTCAACTTTTGCTACACTTCGTCAATAAAGATTACGGAAAAAAATGTGCAGAACCTTTTGTCCGTGTCGAATTTACTACAGTTCAAAACAGTCATCGAATCGTGTTGCGGGTTCTTGAAGAACCAGCTGCACCCCTCGAACTGTTTGGGAATTGGGAATTTCGCCGACCATCATGGCTTTTCTGATCTTCAAAATGCCGCCCAGTGCTACGCTGAAAAACACTTCCTTGAGGTAATCAAGTCTGAGGAATTTCTAAAGGCGACGTTCGAACAAATTGCAGCCATGTTGAAAAGTGATTACCTAGATATAGCGAGCGAAAAAGAGGTTTTCGACTCTGTTATTCAATGGATTACACATGATGAATCAAGGAGGAGGCGACATTTGCCGGAATTTCTTAAAGACATCAGATTGACGTTGCTCCCGCCAAAAATTTTAGGTAAGCGAGAATTAACTCACTTAATATCTGATAAGTAATGACGAGGTTATGTTAAATAATTACTAAAATAAAATAATAATAATGATAAAAAATTTACTCACTTATTTTGTTTATTTTGTCCTGCCTGAGTTAACGTGTCTTTTCCGGCTTTCTCACATGATCGATTTTTGAACTTCAAACTTCTCAGTCTATTTAAAAAAGCCATTTCAGTTGAAAGTTTCAAAAGATCGGATCTTTCTTTTTTTATATTTGGGCGATTATTATTATTTCCTTCGGAAAATGAAACTCTCATGACTTGAATAAATATTGAAAAAAATTATGTTTCAGATCAGAAGTTACACCTTTTGCCCACAAAAGTGACGCTTGATGTTACAAAGATTTTCACTTTTCTTTGCTACTTGACCTTGAAAAGTGAAAACTGACAAAAAGCATCGTTGTTTGCAAAAGTGAGTGAGAAAAGGAAGTGAATGAGAAATCGTTCCCTTATAATATTATAGTTTGTTTACATTTAAGCACTGAACCGAATACACCTATTATTGATATCAAGACATAATAAGTTACTGTAAAATTATAATAAATTGTATTCAAATATCACTACCGATACTATAATAATACTGATACAATAATTCATCATTTTACCCTCGACTAACTGTTAGGCAAGGGTGAAGAATGTCAAGTAGATTCCATTGGTTTTTATGACGCCTCCTCACCTACCCCCACACTGCGAATATTTACAGAAAAGGTTCATGCCAGACTAGGTTCTACAGAGGTTCCAATATTACCTTTCGTGGAGTGGGTACAGATGACTTGTCAAATAATAAAAAAAAGTGCTTATTTCCTTATCTGACAAAAATAATGAGACATGTACACACAGGCTGCAGACAGTTATCATCTACAAATTTAATTTCTAAGTGAGTCCATCCACCCACATATATACATTTTTTTTAATAATTATAAAATTGTTCCAGGTAATTTGCCTTCAACCCTCTTGCCACTTCCAAGATGAAGTTCATAGTACCATAAATCCCATCCACCTCAAAAGAAAAAAAAAAGAAAGTTTCTGCATGCATACTTGTTATTTATCATTTCAGTTGACTGTATAGAAAGTGAAAAGCTGGTTGAAAGTAATGATACTTGCATGAGGTTAATCAGTGAAGCAAAGAACTATCACCTGCTACCTGAGAGAAGAGAAAAAGTGCCCTTTGTCTCCCAGGCGAGGCAAAAGGCACATGGAACAATGATATATATTGTTGGTGGTGAAATACACAACAGAGTGTTCAACAATGTTAGGAGATTCAATTTTGAGACCAGTGTCTGGGATGAAGTGGCCCCAATGAACAAGCATCGTGATGGTGTGGGCGTGACAGTTTATAGTGGACATATATATGCTGCAGGAGGTAAGATTGTTCCAAGACTTTCTTAGGGATTCAGATTTCTATCCTATTTAGGCTATTCTCCACAACAGGTACGTGAGGGGGGAGGGAGCGCCTGCCAGGTGCTCCCTCTCCCCTAGCGTGTCTCCCTTTGACACATGGTATTTGCAGCTTTTATCTCAAAACTTTGTGGTCAACCAAACATGAATGCTACCAGCTATGTAGATCACCATGATCAATTCTCAAGTGTGAAATGTCTGCTATCTCTTTGCCCTACCTTACTGAGGGGCAAGATAACAGCTGACACTTTAAATGTAGTAGGACTCCTATTCCAAAAAATTTCCTGGACGTAATTTGAGAATTTTTTTAGCTGAACAGTGTGTAATAATTTTTTAGACTAACCAATTCACACCATACTAAAATATTTCTCAAGGTTGTGATGGCGATGTAGCTCTCAGCTCTGTAGAATGTTACCACCAGGCTACAGACAAGTGGACATACGTTCAACCAATGGCATGTGGAAGACATGCCTTTGGTCTGGTAGAGTTAGATGGTTGGCTCTATGCATCAGGAGGCAGTGATTTCTCACGTTCTGAATACAACAGTTTGGAACGCTATGATCCAGTCAAGTTAGTATCATCACAGGGTTCTTCTGTTTCCCAAGTACTTCCATATATGGGCTAGATGGGTATGCCCTGCTCTTTTGGGTCTCCATCCTTAAGCAGGGTATCATTTTTGCCCTTGTTGGTGTTGTGTTCCCGGTATGATCCTTAGATAAGGTACCATTATTATATCAGCTAAAATTCAAGGTCTGGTTCCTCGAAAGATGGTTAAGTTTAGCCCAGGATTAAGCCAAATCTTAGGCAAGGTTTTCTTGTATAAGAACATGTAACTCAAGCTTACAAAATGTTGTGCCTTTACTTTGAAAAAACAGAAATGATTACGCAAAATGTTACTCTAAGCAATGCATCGAAAGGTAAATAGAAAAAGTGGAACAAATTTTAACCCTGGATTAGTGCTAATTGGCCTTTCAGAAACCAGGCCTAGGAGCGTAAATGCCTATCTACATGAAAAACAAATCACCTGTTAAACCTAAACTTTACCTCAGAGTATTAGGAAAGCAAGTTTCTATTAAATTCTTACTTTTTGTTTTTCCCTTGAACTGGGTCTCAATTTTCAGGTTTGGTCTTTCAATACATGTACGGTATCAGTTTTGTAAAAAAAAAAAATGTAAATTGTAATTTGTTCACCCACGGAGCACTAAGGAGTTCATATGAACTTGTTGAAAGGTGTCCGTGCGTTCCAGATCGAATTAGAATTTGAAAGTGTTGGTTTTTAAGGAGATGGGAAAACCAGAGTACCCGGAAAAAAACCTCTCGGAGCAAGGGAGAGAACCAACAACAAACTCAACCCACATATTTGTCTCATTCTTAAATAGAGTCAGTGTTTAAGACACTGGGTGGCACACACCCATCTAAAATTTATGAGTAAGGGATTTAAGTGGGTGGGAGTATGCATAACATAGCTGGCTGTAATCCTCAGGCTTTCAACTTATTGATAAATTGTATCATTTCACTAAAAATACAGGAATCCTTCAGTACATTGTTTTCTTGTTCAAATTTTGGCTGCTACATCACTGGGATTAGAAAAGATCAGGAAAGATGAGAGGAATTTTTGTAGAAGCAGTCAAATGATGCTACCTTGATCACTGCTTATCACCACCCTGTGGGAATCTTTGTGCCTTGTCTTACACTAGTAAGGCTTTCTCAGTTATTTAGTGCTCGTGGCTGGGCTTCAAGAATTGCTCATATGGCTCACTGCATTTCCTTGAAAAGTGCTCACCCACATTGCCAAACTAAGAAACTAAACAAGTGCTTAGGACTTCCCCCCCTCCCCCTCACTTTTCTAGATGATAAGGATATCAGAGAGACTGTACAGGTCCTTTCTCTTCTCATATCTTTAATCTGTTTAAAAAAGTTAGTTCATATCATCTCCTTCTTCCTGTGCTTGCATATTTAAATAACATGTTCTTTTAATTTTTCCATTTTTTTGATAATTGCCCCACCCACCCTTTTGTTAGAATTTGCCCTGACACTTGGTTCAAGTGGTTAGAAGATGCAAATGTTAAACTTTTTTTCTGCTCAGAAAAATATAATTTGGGAATTTTCCACAAATTTTCAAGCAGACCATTTTTATGAGAATTCTCAGGGCTGTCAGTAAGACTTCTACTTGCCAGGTATTTATGTTACAGGTTAAAATTAAATCCAGGTTAAAATTTGTTACCTTATGTTGATTCACAATTTTCTTTGTCTCCTAGCCTTAATTATTCATCAATTAGGGCTAGGAGACAAAGGTAATTGAGAATCAACCAAGGTTAAAGAATTTTAATCTGAATTTAATTTTGGCTAGTAACATATACATATTTAGTAAGTGGGGAGGTTTTTTTGGGTATATTTTTCTTTTGTTTCCTAATTATGAAAGTAGCCAGGGGTCATCCTCATAGTAACCGGGGGAAATCCCCAGTTCCACACCCTTAGTGACAGCCCTGATTCTTATAATTATACTATTTCATTCATTCCTTATTGTACCAGTAATGACCACAGGCTAATACCTCTTTTCAGAGATGTATGGACTCACATGAAACCCATGAGCACAATGCGAGAGGGGGTTGCCATGGTGACCCTAGATGGAGCTATTTATGCCATTGGAGGTGACAATGGTGTATCCATACTTAACACGGCTGAAAGATATGATCCAAGGCTAGATCAATGGAGTGCTTGTGTTCCCATGAGTTACAGAAGGAGATACTTTGGAGCAGCAGTACTAAAGGGCAAGATTTTTGTCCTTGGAGGAAGTGACTATGATGAGGATCACAATTCTGTGGAGTGCTTTGATCCTCGAATGAACAGGTGGCTATCACTTCCTCCCATGTTGATGCGCCGTGAAAGCCCAGGTGTTGTAGCAATTGATGACAAACTATATGCTATGGGCGGTGCTTGCGTGAATGTTGAAACAGAACAGATTGATTGTTATGATCCTTTAAGTAACAAGTGGGAGGAGTTTACACCACTGCCATTAGCCATAGAAGGAATGGGTGTAGCTGTAATGTGATATCAAGTAGAACTTCCAATAATTAAAACTAACTGTACAGTACATAACTACAATGTTGGTGGTATATGTTCAGTTTTAGTTGTCATGTGCAATAATTGGGTTTGCTTTACAAAGGTTGATATTTAGTTACTGATATAAAAAATTGCATTTAGTTCTCATGGAAGTGAGGGGAACTTAGCCACCCTTAATGCTTGGATATAGATAATTTTTGAGTCAGTCAAGGGGAAGTCACATTAATTAACAGATTTTTATCTTAAAATATAGAAAAACGTAGACANAGTGACAGCCCTGATTCTTATAATTATACTATTTCATTCATTCCTTATTGTACCAGTAATGACCACAGGCTAATACCTCTTTTCAGAGATGTATGGACTCACATGAAACCCATGAGCACAATGCGAGAGGGGGTTGCCATGGTGACCCTAGATGGAGCTATTTATGCCATTGGAGGTGACAATGGTGTATCCATACTTAACACGGCTGAAAGATATGATCCAAGGCTAGATCAATGGAGTGCTTGTGTTCCCATGAGTTACAGAAGGAGATACTTTGGAGCAGCAGTACTAAAGGGCAAGATTTTTGTCCTTGGAGGAAGTGACTATGATGAGGATCACAATTCTGTGGAGTGCTTTGATCCTCGAATGAACAGGTGGCTATCACTTCCTCCCATGTTGATGCGCCGTGAAAGCCCAGGTGTTGTAGCAATTGATGACAAACTATATGCTATGGGCGGTGCTTGCGTGAATGTTGAAACAGAACAGATTGATTGTTATGATCCTTTAAGTAACAAGTGGGAGGAGTTTACACCACTGCCATTAGCCATAGAAGGAATGGGTGTAGCTGTAATGTGATATCAAGTAGAACTTCCAATAATTAAAACTAACTGTACAGTACATAACTACAATGTTGGTGGTATATGTTCAGTTTTAGTTGTCATGTGCAATGATTGGGTTTGCTTTACAAAGGTTGATATTTAGTTACTGATATAAAAAATTGCATTTAGTTCTCATGGAAGTGAGGGGAACTTAGCCACCCTTAATGCTTGGATATAGATAATTTTTGAGTCAGTCAAGGGGAAGTCACATTAATTAACAGATTTTTATCTTAAAATATAGAAAAACGTAGACAGCATAATTTATTATAAGAAAAGTATATTTATTACTGTTTTTTTCAGAAGAGAGGTAACCTCTAACTTTAACTTAATATATTATCTGCTAGTCTGAAGTAAATTGTAACAAAAAAAATAATAACATAATTTATGAAATGGATTATATTGTTCCAAGGGGAAATAAAAAAAATCAGTTTGTTCTTGGTAGCTGTTTATGTTGTGAATAGTAATATTGAAGAAAAAGTCTGGCTGGAAAATAAAAAACCTAATTGGAAAAGAAAAAATGCCACAGTTTACTGTTTAGGGTTTTGCTCATACAGATACTACATCACTTTGCTGTTGCAAACTTCTATATTTATGTTCCCTGTTGTTCTTATTCAGTAGTATACTGTAGCCTGACCATGTGTTCTTAATATTGAATACACCGAATTATTTTTTAAATTCATTTTGCTTATTATCATACTCAAAACTTTGTGGTCAACCAAACATGAATGCTACCAGCTATGTAGATCACCATGATCAATTCTCAAGTGTGAAATGTCTGCTATCTCTTTGCCCTACCTTACTGAGGGGCAAGATAACAGCTGACACTTAAAATGTAGTAGGACTCCTATTCCAAAAAATTTCCTGGACGTAATTTGAGAATTTTTTTAGCTGAACAGTGGGTAGTAACAATTTTTTAGACTAACCAATTCACACCATACTTAAATATTTCTCAAGGTTGTGATGGTGATGTAGCTCTCAGCTCTGTAGAATGTTATCACCAGGCTACAGACAAGTGGACATACGTTCAACCCATGGCATGTGGAAGACATGCCTTTGGTCTGGTAGAGTTGGATGGTTGGCTCTATGCATCAGGAGGCAGTGATTTCTCACGTTCCGAATACAACAGTTTGGAACGCTATGATCCAGTCAAGTTAGTATCATCACAGGGTTCATGAGAACGTGTAACTCAAGCTTACAAAATACTGTTGTGCCTTTACTTTGAAAAAAAAAAGAAATGATTACACAAAATGGTTACTCTAAGCAATGCATCGGAAGGAAAATACAAAAAGTGGAACTAAATTTCAATCCTGGATTAGTGCTAATTGGCCTTTCAGGAACTGGGCCTAGGAGCGTAAATGCCTATTTACATGAAAAACAAATCACCTGTTAAAATTGAACTTTACCTTAGGGTAGTAGGAAATCAAGTTTCTATTAAATTCTTACTTTTTGTTTTTCCCTTGAACTGGGCCTCAATTTTCAGGTTTGGGCTTTCAATACTTTTACGGTATCAGTTTTGTAAAAAAAAAAAAAAAATTGTAAATTGTAATTTGTTTACCCACTGAGCACTAAGGAGTTCATAGGAACTCGTTGAAATGTGTCCGTCCGTGTCTTCCAGATCGAATTGGAATTTGAAAGTGTTGGTTTTTAAGGAGAGGGGAAAACCAGAGTACCTGGCGAAAAACCTCTCGGAGCAAGGGAGAGAACCAACAACAAACTCAACCCACATATTTGTCTCATTCTTAAACAGGGTCAGGGTTTAAGACACTGAGTGGCACATACCCATCCAAAATTTATGAGTGTACCCCCTCCCCCATGTTCTGTCTATTAAGTCAAGGGATTTAAGTAGGTGGGAGTATGCATAACATAGCTGGCTGTAATCCTCAGGGTTTCAACTTATTGATAAATGATTTGACTAAAAATACTGGAATCCTTCAGTATATTGTTTTCTTGTTCAAATTTTGGCTGCTACATCACTGGGATTAGAAAAGATCAGGAAAGATGAGAGGAATTTTTGTAGAAGCAGTCAAATGATGCTACCTTGATCACTGATTATCACCACCCTGTGGGAATCTCTGTGCCTTGTCCTACACTTGTAAGGCTTTCTCAGTTATTTGGTGCCTGTGGCTGGGCTTCCAGAATTGCTCATACAGCTCACTCCATTTCCTTGAAAAGTGCTCACCCACATTGCCAAACTAAGAAACTAAACAAGTGGTTACGACTTTCCCCCCTTTCCCTCACTTTTTTAGATGACAAGGATATCAGAAAGACTGCACAGGCCCTTTCTCTTCTCATATCTTTAATCTGTTTAAAAAAGTTAGTTCATGTCATCTCCTTCTTCCTGTGCTTGCATATTTAAATAACTTGTTCTTTTAATTTTTCCATTTTGTTGATAATTGCCCCACCCACCCTTTTGTTAGAATTTGCCCTGACACTTGATTCAAGTGGTTAGAAGATGCAAATGTTAAACTTTTTTTCTGCTCAGAAAAATATAATTTGGGAATTTTCCACAAATTTTCAAGCAGACCATTTTTATGAGAATTCTCAGGGCTGTCAGTAAGACTTCTACTTGCCAGGTATTTATGTTACAGGTTAAAATTTGTTCCCTTATGTTGATTCACAATTTTCTTTGCCTCCTAGCCTTAATTATTCATCAATTAGGGCTAGGAGACAAAGGTTATTGAGAATCAACCTACGGTAAAGAATTTTAATCTGAATTTAATTTTGGCTAGTAACATATACATATTAGTAGGTGGGGATGTTTTTTGGGGTATATTTTTCTTTTGTTTCCTAATTATGAAAGTAGCCAGGGGTCATCCTCATAGTAACCGGGGGAAATCCCCAGTTCCACGCCCTCAGTGACAGCCCTGATTCTTATAATTATACTATTTCATTCATTCCTTATTGTACCAGTAATGACCACAGGCTAATACCTCTTTTCAGAGATGTATGGACTCACATGAAACCCATGAGCACAATGCGAGAGGGGGTTGCCATGGTGACCCTAGATGGAGCTATTTATGCCATTGGAGGTGACAATGGTGTATCCATACTTAACACGGCTGAAAGATATGATCCAAGGCTAGATCAATGGAGTGCTTGTGTTCCCATGAGTTACAGAAGGAGATACTTTGGAGCAGCAGTACTAAAGGGCAAGATTTTTGTCCTTGGAGGAAGTGACTATGATGAGGATCACAATTCTGTGGAGTGCTTTGATCCTCGAATGAACAGGTGGCTATCACTTCCTCCCATGTTGATGCGCCGTGAAAGCCCAGGTGTTGTAGCAATTGATGACAAACTATATGCTATGGGCGGTGCTTGCGTGAATGTTGAAACAGAACAGATTGATTGTTATGATCCTTTAAGTAACAAGTGGGAGGAGTTTACACCACTGCCATTAGCCATAGAAGGAATGGGTGTAGCTGTAATGTGATATCAAGTAGAACTTCCAATAATTAAAACTAACTGTACAGTACATAACTACAATGTTGGTGGTATATGTTCAGTTTTAGTTGTCATGTGCAATAATTGGGTTTGCTTTACAAAGGTTGATATTTAGTTACTGATATAAAAAATTGCATTTAGTTCTCATGGAAGTGAGGGGAACTTAGCCACCCTTAATGCTTGGATATAGATAATTTTTGAGTCAGTCAAGGGGAAGTCACATTAATTAACAGATTTTTATCTTAAAATATAGAAAAACGTAGACAGCATAATTTATTATAAGAAAAGTATATTTATTACTGTTTTTTTCAGAAGAGAGGTAACCTCTAACTTTAACTTAATATATTATCTGCTAGTCTGAAGTAAATTGTAACAAAAAAAATAATAACATAATTTATGAAATGGATTATATTGTTCCAAGGGGAAATAAAAAAAATCAGTTTGTTCTTGGTAGTTGTTTATGTTGTGAATAGTAATATTGAAGAAAAAGTCTGGCTGGAAAATAAAAAAACCTAATTGGAAAAGAAAAAATGCCACAGTTTACTGTTTAGGGTTTTGCTCATACAGATACTACATTACTTTGCTGTTGCAAACTTCTATATTTATGTTCCCTGTTGTTCTTATTCAGTAGTATACTGTAGCCTGACCATGTGTTCTTAATATTGAATACACCGAATTATTTTTTAAATTCATTTTGCTTATTATCATCATGACAATATTACTAGTAACTTTGATCACTAAAAGCAGGGCTGTCATTAAGAGGCGGGGGGCCGGGGATTTCCCCCAGCTACTATGAAGGTGACCCCCGCCTACTTTCATAGGAAAATAGAAGGAAAATATAATCAAAAGAAACCCCTAGCTGTTTGATTCCCTGCCTACTAGTTGTATTTACCGGTACCCTGCAACTTGAAATCTTAGCAACAACCCTGATTATAAGTCACCTAAAAGTAATTATTATTCATTCAAAATATTTCCCCAATTCTGATTGGCTAAAAGCACACGCATAATTCACCATAACCAGTTACTGATGACCAAATTTGGAAGAATTTTGTGTTTAACGAGGAAATGACGTCAAAAATGCAGCCTTCTACAGGTTAATGCACCGTTGAGTTGTTTTCGTTGTAAAAACTAAAATGGCGGACACTTCACTAATTTCAAGGGTAAGAACTACAGCTGGAACTAGGCGAAATGATGGCTTAAAACATAGTAAAACAGCAAGAAGACAACTCGGAGGGCGACATCTGCTATTTGGAGAATATTTGCAGAGCTGGACAAACCTAAACGTAAACTATTAAAGATAAACTTAACATCAATGCAGGTAAGCTTGTTTTTAGCTATGTTTTTAAACTAGGAATTTTTTTGAATGAATGATAAAACAATTATTGGATTAGGCATTCGTATCATATGAAGAATTATGGAGATCTCAGAGGGTGTTTTCTGCCTTGGCCGTAACACCCTCCTCGATCTCCATAATACTTCATGAGATACTCAGGCTCATTCATTAATTGTTAAATAAATGAAAATTATAATCATTGCAAGCAGGCAACTGTATAAATGCAAAACAACAACAACAACAACTGAATATCTTGTAATTTACATAATTTGAACAACTATTATTTTTCTCTCTTCATGAACCCTATTTTTTTCCTTTGTGGAATGCTTGAGTCAACATATAGTGTAAGTGTTACCAATACTATATCTTCAGAAAATATCAATGCAGCTAAATGTATAACCAAAACAATTTTTTTGAGCCTCATTATGTCATTGTTAGTAACTGTATCTCTAGTATGTACACAATTTTTATCCATTCTGTCTTATCTTCTCTTCTTGCGTTGACGTCCAGATGGTCCAGGCTCTCCTGAAGGTCCTGCACTACTTTCACCTAGAAAGCAGAAAGAAATACCTGTTAAGCTCTATTTAAACTCATCTAAAAAGATTAGCATGGAGGGAGGTGCTTGAAAGGCTGGTGGAGTCATAGCCTACGTGTCGCTGCACCCTCTCCCTGAAGAAGGAAAAACTTAGGGAGAGGGTGTGGCTACACGTAGGCTAGTGGAGCCATGAAATTCAGCCAAGAGCAACAAATAACCATGACAACTCTATGTGTGGCATCCAACTGAGCTCTCACGAGCTTGATGGGGAAAGGGCCCACCATAAGGCAAGGCAATGTGAACATAAAGGCTGACCTCAACTGAAAAGATGTAAAAACCCAAAGGCCCCTGCAAAGCCATATGTGTGCGCCTGAATATCACATCTGAGAGACTGCCGGCCAGCATTGTCTTGAGTTTAACTCAGTCTAAATTTCTTTTAGCAACATGAAGTAAAGAAAAGTGATAACGTCACAAAGAATAAATTAAATATTAGAATTCTTACTCACCATTTAATTGTTGTGATGCAGGTGATGTTGGTAATTGGGGAATCTGATGCATCCACTGTGATATTATGAAGTAGTAATCAATACCGCTGACATAATATCGCATACTCAGAGAAAACGTTTCGGGTACGTTCTTGTAAGTTGATTTGAGCTTTCGCTGATTAAAGACTGTTTGGTTAAGTTTGCTCGTTTTGAAGCTAAGGACTAACACATGGTGTCAGAAGTCAGTGGATGAAGCTGTTTGCCGACCGCATTTGTGAAATATTTGTCTTGTGAACACCTTGGTTCGTTGCTGTTCGCATAAATCGAAACCGCGTGGTGTGAAATGGCGGCCGGGCGTCTGTTAAACCCGCCGGATCCTCTGCAGCTTTCAAGTGGAAATGTATCTCAGAATTGGAAAAGATTTAAACAAAAGTGGAGTAACTATGAGCTAGCTATCGGAACAGCCAGAAAGGAAGACCCCATTCGAGTAGCAACTTTTCTCACCGTGATCGGCGACGAAGCGCTAGATGTTTACAATGCATTCACGTGGGACAGTGACGAAGACAAAGTCAAAATGGATAAAGTTCTAGAGCATTTTGAGCAGTATTGTGAGCCTCGCAAGAATACAATTTACGAAAGGTATTTATTCTTTTCGCGTGGACAGGAAAGTGGGGAGCCCATTGATAAATATGCCACAGTTCTACGAAACATGGCAGACTCTTGTGAATTCCAAGATTTGAAAGATTCATTGATACGTGACCGCATCGTGTTTGGAATCGCTGATAACAACGTGAGAGAGCGTTTGCTGCGAGTCCCAGATTTGACGCTGAATAAAGCTCTAGAAATTGCACGAGCTGCCGAAGCAACCCAAAGCCAGTTGAAACAAATGCAAAACTTGCACGAGGTTAATGCAGTGGGGAAGAAGAAAGAAAAATTCTTCCGAAAGAAACAAGAAGAGAAGAAGAAATCAGCAAACGGAAGTACTCAGCAGATCGACTGCAAGTTTTGTGGCAGGAAACATGTACCAGACAGATCAAAGTGCCCTGCATATGGCCAACAGTGCAACAAGTG